GTTTTTTTTCAATAGGCTGAAAAGTTATAAGTGAGGATGTGGACACCACAACAGAAAGCTCAATGCGTCTCATGGTTCATAGAGACGAAATCAGATACACAGGTTCAACGGAACTTCAGGACAAATTTCCAAAGAGACCCACCATCCAGACCCTCCATCCGTGCATGGCACACAAGCTTCATGAGCACCGGATCAGTATTGCATAAAAGTGGAGCCGGACGACCCAGCACAAGTCCAGAAAATGTGGAGCGAATACGGCCATGAGACGCATTGAGCTTTCTGTTGTGGTGTCCACATCCTCACTTAAAAACTTTTCAGCCTACTGAAAAAAAAACTTTATTAGTTGCAGTAATACATGCAAAAAACAGAATATAAATATCTTGTTTATGTTCGAAGTTATGAGTTTTTGAAGTTGTAAAGATAATTTTGGAACACCCTGTATATTCTAGCCTTGGTAACAAAAACCCTCCCAGCAAGGAAACAGAAGCTGTAGATTATCACAAAATCTGGTGATTAATTAATTTTAAAGCAAATAAAACTGTCCAATAAAATATAAATCAAATGAAAATCATCTCTCCCCCTTTTGAAAAGACTGCCCTCCGACCTTCTGACATCTAAAACAATTCACGAGGCTACAGCAGCAAGCATGCAGGGCTTCAATAACACAATTGCAGAAAAAATTTTGCAACGGACTCTGGTTAAATTTTGTTCTCCAAAATATATTTATAAAAAGTGAAAACACATTAAAAAAGAGGGGGGAAAATATTTTTTTAAGGAAAGAAAAAAGAGTAAACTTTTCACCTGAATTTTAAAATGCTATTTCTCTTCTAATTTCGAACCTGAGGTAATATTATAATCTGATATGTTTTTATTTTATACTTAGAATAATTTGATATGATGATCAGAAGCATTAATGATGGATTTATTTCCTTTAAGTACTGTTTAAGCTTCAAATTAAAGATGCGAAAATTCTGTGTAGATATTTTCATCTATCCTATGTTTACAAGTGCAAATTTTGTAACATGTATGTTTGGGTAAACTAAAGAAGTTCGTTGTATAAATATTAAATGATTGCATAAATTACTGTATAAATATTAGATGCTTTAACATTGTTTTATTCAATCTTTCTTTTAAGCATTATTATATTTTTAACATAAATTTAAGCTTACATTTTTTGTATTTAATTTTCATCTACTATTTGCAAATTTAAATTTTGCTCTTAGCTTTGCCCTTTGCGGAAACAATGCACAATTAGAGCTCGTAATGCAATATAACCAGTTGAATTTCCTTCCCAGCATTAGAGATCACCTTAATGTGTTTCAAATATTTACAGAGAAGACAAAACAGTTCAGAGGTTTTGTCCCATTCTAGTTGCGTATTCTATAAGAAAGTATAAAGATTTATGAATCAAATTGTTGAAAAGCTTCAGAGTGAAAAAGTATAAACTGTAATAGAAGTCTATCAGAAGATTTGTGAGGATGCAAAAAGCTTTTTCTGGCATACTTTTGTAACAGAATATGTGTAGTTAAATATTAGATTAATATTGTTGCGCAGCAAATATTTACACGTCAAAAAGAAAGTTTGATAATGTTAGAATATTCTTTTCTTCTATTTGATAGAATATTTATTTATTTTTAAGTTAGAAAGCATTAGAAATAATCTGTCACCAACCTTTAAATTTTAAGGAGAGCATTGTGTTTTGTTAGACCTTTTTTTAGCATATAAAAGAGTAACAAGAAATTAAAGAATATTATGCTTAAAATTTTGATTTCCAAAATTGTAATTTTTAATGCTTTCAAAAAATATAATTCCATTCCTTCAAACAGAAGATAAAAAGAGATCATAAAAAATTTTATGATTTGAAAATAAAAATGTACTTATGTGAAAGCCAAGATTGACAATTTCAATGAGCATAATTTATTAATAAATAAAACTATTTTATTATTGATGTTCATAACCATCTCACGACAGTTTACAAAGGAATGAAAATATGGAATAGTTCATTCCAAAAAGACAACACCATCAACTAACTAAATCCAAATGATTTTTTTAATGTCTTGGATTTGATGATGAAGAAAAGTGAGAGAGATAGGGTGGGAAGCAGATATAAGGAACATCAAACAATTCAATGAAAATAATAAATGAAAATTTTACACAAATGAAACAACTTTGACAGCAAGATTTCAAGTGTACAAATAAATACACTATGATAGTATAGGATCTTATGGCTTCAGATTCAAAAAGTTATTATAAAATTTTGACAAAGAAAGCAGGTAAATTGTAAGGAGCAAAAAGTGTGTAAAATTTTAATAAAATTAGTAAAAGCATACAATAATATAACAAAGCATTAAAACTATAACTAAAACTATATGCACTTTGAATAAAACAAGCTTAACAAATCACAAAGGCTATCACATGTTCAAAAAGCAATAATACATAACGCCTTTTAAAAAAATACTTTGCAACAATCCAGTGTGGTAATTGTACATAAAAACAAACAACTATCATTGGCACAACAGTTAAGATCTTTACTAAATGTACAAAATAACTTATTTAAATTCAGGATTATTTTTCTTGCATTGGAGCACATCTGGAGTAAAAATTTAAATTTTAAAACATTTATATTAGTTATTTTAACATGTAGAATTTTTTAAATGATTATAAAGCACTATTTACTGCAGAAATTATTGGATATTTCTGTTTATGGCATTAATGTATCTGCATAGACATAATTTCTTGACGTCAAAAATTCGATTAAGTTAAAAATCTCTTATTCACAATTGTTTCTTCAAAAACAAACCATAAAAAGGCTGCAACTTTGCAAGAATCAGAAATGAAATATATGGCAGGCAGTTATAAGGAATCAGCTGAAAAAGAAATAAACATTAGCTTTCAAACAATAAATTTAAAGATGTATAATACTAACAAACTGATAGATTTTTATTTTTTCATATCCACTATAGCTGTAACACAAAGTCAAACAGTTATATAAAAAAAAATATTTTTTTAAATATTTCTAAGACAAAGTGTTTTTCTTTTCTTACTTTCTTATGAAGGGTGCTTATAAATAAGTTGAAGGCTCCTAAAATCCTTTTTACTAAATTTACTGCATTGAATACGCCATATTAGACTGCATTGTAAAATGAGAAAGGTAATTAGTTTTAATATTTAAAAAACAAACATGCCAATTTCAAGGACTATTTTGAAATATTTCTTTCTAATTATGCTTGTAAAAGTAAATTTCTTTTTTAGAATCATTTTTCTTCCTTTAAAAACAATAAAATATTTTACTTTTATTTTTAGAATCTTATTTTCATAATCTAGAACTATTGCCAGATATATTTTAGGTGTCCAGTATATATGTTTAATCCACAATTTTAAAAATAACCTTTTCAAAATATATAAGTATAACTTTGGCATTTCTTTTACATTAAAAAAATATAGCATTTCGTTTTTCGTGAAAAAAAAATTTCTTTTTTAGATATTAATATATCTCAAACACAAAATAAAACAGTTAAATTCTTTTTATTATCCAAAAAGTATCGTTTACTATTACTTATTTTCCATCTCTCAGTACATGTCGAAACCAGCTAAATTCAAAATCAACTTTTAATGTATATAAAAAATTCATTAACTTTTATCATTTATCTAAAAAAATAAACACATAATTTATAGTTAAATAAGTAGCAAAAAATTAATTATAGCTTAAATAAAAAATAAAAGGAAAAAGTCTTGTTATTTGCTGAAATTACTAACACCATGCTGAAATGAGAGATATATTTGTTGTGTTAGTTATGCAAAATTTACGAAAAAGAATCTAGTATATTGTGATATTAAACCACCTATTCAGTTTAATATGATTTTCTTAGTTTTTAGTAATAAAGCTTCAAACATGGTAACACATTTTATAATTAAACATAATGTTAAACTTAAACAAAAGGACAAAAGGCACTTCTCTGTCCAGACAATAGAACATCTCTGTCATAAATAGTTCTTAACATAATCTTGTTTAGCATACATAATTTTAAAAAATTACATGTACAATGTTATTCTGTATAACTGAAATTTCTTATCTGCTAGTCAGATAATTGGTCTTTTTAATATGTAGAAACAATTAACAATATTGATATATTTCTTGAAAAGGCAATTTATGTAGAATGATATTGCATAATAAACATTTTTTAAAGCATAACTTTTGACAATTAAGTTGAGGCATGCAGAGGTAAATGAATGCCTAAGACAACTGCTTCTTGAATGTTAAAATTTTTTAAATTGTCTAATACTTCATTAATAAATTAGGTTTAAAATCATTGTTTAATCTACGTAAAACATTTTGCATGGACCAAACAAATTTTTTAACGGATGAAAAGTTTAAAAAAATTTAATTTTATCACAATAAAAGGTTTAAAGTTGCACTGAACTCTTGCATACTTTAACAACATTGTATTAACGGAGAGTCATAATCTGGAATAGACTAAAGTAAAGAAAGAGTTTAAAAATATTTCGCTATATGATAATTTATCTTTTTTAAATAAATATGGATTTTACAATCCCTATAATTTGGCTTTCTTATGTTCTTATGACTTTTGTTTTTGCATAAAATATAGTTACCTAGCACCGCTTAGTTCCGCTACTTTATTTAGATAAAAGATAATTGATTTTAACTTTTGTTTGGTGCACTAAGAAGCACCTGGCTCTAGTAATATTGAACTTTTTTACTCAGAACTCTTTTCACATTGAAATTAAAAAAAATCTAAAATTCATAGTTTTAGTTAGAATGTTACACATAAATGTACAATATTGATTTTAAAAACTAACAACAGATGCAATTTTCCCAGAAATTAATAAACATTGCATTTAGTTTTATCGCTACTAAAATTTGAGAAAATGCAGAAATGCTGACACATAAAACATGTTACATAAAAATAGCAATGACAGGGGTTGGACAAAATACGATTCTATCCCCTGTATCTTCTAACATTTAAGTACTGGCATTAAAAACATACATATTAAAAAAAACTATACAATTTGCTTTCTAATGTTCTCCATATCTACATTACATTTTATTCTGTGACAAACGTTTAAAACAACCTTATTAAATTTTTCTAATTACAAACCTTATTCTTTAGGAGCTTCATGAGGTGCTGGTAATTTTTCCCAACTTGGCTCGACTCCCCAGATTTGTCGAGCATATTCAGCAATGGTACGATCACTAGAAAACTTTCCAGATGAGGCAATATTCATAATAGCCATTTTTGTCCATTCCTCAGTATTCTAAGAGGGAAATATATGCAATGAAATTATCTATATTGTTAAAATGTAAGCTAAATACTTAAACTTTTTTTATTACAAATATTCTGGAAATCTAACAAGTTAAACCTTAACGGATAGACAAACATTGCAATTTTTTCCTTTAAGTTTAATCTCCAAAAATGACAGTTGCTGTACACCACTGCATATAAAGTTTTTCAGAAAAAAACTTAGCTTTATTATTATCTCTTTTAGCTTTTAGAAAAAATCTACATAGGTAACTTTCTACTTTTTTTTTAAATACAGCTTAGAATGACAATGCCTACTTTGTTCGAAGCAAGCAAATGTGAGCGCAAAAAGTTATATCTAATATTGGAACATAAAAACTTACAGTGAACATGTCGCTGACTCTTTCTTGACACTTTATATAAGCATCAAAATCGGCAAACAGATAAAACCTAAAAGAGAGAGAGAGATTGAGGTGTTAAATAAGAATGTAAGTTAAAAGCTAAAAGGTTGAATATTTAAAAAGATTTCTATTTTTGAAAATAGAATTTTGCTATACTGTGTGAAGATTAAAAAAAAACAGTTCAATTATTAAAAATTATTATGTTACCTGTCATGGTTTAGTAGGATATTTGTCAAATCCTTAAAACAATCTGGGTTGTTAGGACTAAAGTAGCCACCGCTGATTTGATCAATGGCTTGTTTTAGTTCACTGTTCGAATTGTAGTAATCCCATGCATTATACCTATGAATCAAAATTTTATACAGAACATAATAAAAAACAACAGCAGATGTGCAAGTTTTAAGAAAATTGCAATACTAGAGTTTCAATGTTTCACACAAAAATTAAAGCCAGTAAAACAAAATAAAATAATTCTGTTAAAAAATAATTATAATACATATTTTTTCTAGTTTTCAAAGAATCAAATGTATGTGGTCAAACATTGACTAAAAATTCAACAAAGCACACTTGCTTGACCTTGACCTCATAAAAAATTAGTCAATTAATTAGCTAAGTTGTAAAGTAATGTATATGCATATTTAAACTCGTCAGTTATCATATTAGCAAATTTATGGAACAAAAGTGGATATTTTGGAATGGTTTATTAAAAATATTAATTGATAGTTATGTTACAAAAGGTTTCGTTGAAATACTTTTTAACTAGGTATTTAGTTACTTTGAATTTGGTGCTTAAAATATTATTTATGCTTTTGTTTAAATAAATAAAAAAATCTGGATTTAAAAAAAACCACACACAGAAATCAAGAAGCCTGCTTTGCTCTTTAAAAATTAAAATCTAGCGTTTTTCCAACTCTGAGGAATATTAATATTTGTTAAAAGCTGGATTTAGAATTGGTTTTAGACAAGTTTGATTTAGAAAAGATGAAAGTCTACTTGTGCATCTCTAGGTCAAAATCTTTTAAAGGAAATCTGATGATCTATTCCATTTTAAAAATACAGACTTAACATATCTTTACACAGAAAATGCAGAATAAATTTTCTTCAAAAGCTTATTTTGTTTCTTAAGTTATGATGCACATGTCGACAAAATGGTTTCACCAATTTGCAGTTACATTTAATTATTTAAACTCAAACACGCTAAAAAGTGCACTGCAGGAGCATGAAGAATACAAAATAAGACGTTTTCAAAACATATCCAGTGCTTTTTGCAAAGGTACATTAGAATCAGTAATTTTAAAATGGACTAGAATGGAACAACACACTTTCATTAACTTTTAGCTCTGATATGAGACCAGAAAAGTTCACTCAATGTTCAGAAAATATTCATACAACTTCTTTTGCTTATCACTTTTTATAGCAAATAACAAAAAATTGGCAGTAGGTATAAAAGTTAAAAATTTTTATCCATAATCTTGATTAAACTCTTAGATTTTGGTCATAAAACTTGAATATTGATACAAATAACACTGTCCAAAACTTCTGAAAAAGTGAATTTTAACATACCCTTTTCGTTTGAGATCTTCAACTTCATCTACAGTCATTCCAAAAATGAAAATATTTTCAGTTCCCATTTCCTCCTTCATTTCAATATTTGCTCCATCTAATGTTCCAATAGTGAGGGCTCCATTAAGCTGAAAATATACACATAAAGATAAAAATGATTGGCTAACTTTTTTTATATAAGATCTGAACCTTGCACTATTAATTCATTTTATTTATGTTAGTTCATATGGGATACATATAAAACTAGCAAAAAAGGTATCAATTAATGATAAATTTTGTAACAAATATTTTGATTGTATAGTAGGTTGCTGAATAACGCGAAGGGGTTATGCTCTGCTCTAAAGAAAATCTAATTGCTCTAGTGAACAAATATATGTGCAATATAGGGAGAAGTAGAATAAAAATTAATCTTCTTTTAAATATTTACATATATAATTACACCAGTTCATTGTGTATTCCCTATTAAATGGCTAATGCTTACATTTATTTTTCTAAACAAAATCTGAGAATTATGTTAGAATTGTTTTACATGTAATGCAGAAATTATAATTATGATATATAAAGAACACAATTTTTTGTCACATTTAAAAACTCATTTTATATGGGAATCGGTTATGCTGGAGTACTGGATACATCATGTTATATACAAAAGAACTGGGAATATCTGTAGCACAAGTAATGTCAACTCAATTATCAAAATAACAGTGCTATCAATAATAAATTTAAAATAGACAATTTGTTTCCGAATATCACTGTCTTATGCAAAATAATATGTATGAAAAATTGGCTTATTTTATATTTATTTTTGAAATTATTTAATTTCAAAAATATACTCATTGGGCTATGTTAGCAATGGTACACACAATATTTTTGGTCTGATACGTTTTTAAAGAAGTGTATATTTGATGAGGTTTATTAATAACGATTAAAGTTTTGTTATAAATAAAATCAAGAATGAATTTTTTTTTTTTATATGTTACAAATTAAGTCTATTTATGGAAGGAATGAGCTGTAAAAGCTAAACATATACAAGAGAAAAGTAAAATATATAGCAATTCAAATAAATTAAATAAGGTATGGTATTAAATGTTTTTAGGGGATTCTATTTTCACTAAAAAATGCTCATAAAAACTTAATAGCAGTAAATTAAAAGTATAAAATTAAAGAAAACATTTATCATTCAGTGATTACCATAAATTTCATGTTCCCAGTTCCAGAGGCTTCAGTGCCTGCAGTTGATATTTGTTCAGACAAATCAGCAGCAGGGATAATTTTTTCTGCTAACGTAACTCTATAGTTTTCAAGAAAAACAACCTTCAATTTGTCTCCAACAACAGGATCATTGTTCACAACATTTCCAACAGAACATATCAGCTTTATTATTTGTTTAGCTGTGTGATATCCTGGGGCAGCCTGCAGAAAAAGACAATGGTTATATAAGATAGATTAACAATATATAGAATATTTTGAACATGGAATTACAGAAAATACACTATAACAAAACATACATCTTCATAAGAAAATTCGAATTTACTTACAGTGTGCACTGATTGAAAAAAGACAATCCACTGACATACTTACTGATTTTGTTTATAATTTTTAATGTAAGAAAGTTTTATTTATTATGGATAAAAACATATAATTTTGAAATTTGAATCAAATATAGAAAATATGGAATGTTTGGAGGCATAAAAGCATGTTCACTCTGTTTCATTAATTTTTACTAAAGAGAGGAAGCATATGAGGACTTAAACTAACAAATTATATGAAATAGAGCAATGGAAGTTTCACAAAAAAGAGAAGATGATAGCAACGCTGTGAAATGGGATGAAATATTTCATTTTTAATGACTTAAATATGATTTTTAATAAAAAGGTGATAATAAGTCAATTTATATTATAGAAAATAAATGATTATCTTAAATTATTTCAAAATGAAATAAAACACAGCGTGAATTTTTAAAGTGAATGTAGAAATGCGACAACTTACCTTACCGCCGACCATAATAGTTCTAGGAACAAATGGTGCATTAGGATTCTTTTTTATGCGATTGTAGAGAACAATTATATGCAAGCAATTCAGCAATTGCCTTTTATATTCATGAATCCTTTTAACCTGAATGTCGAACATTGAAGAAGGATTGATATTGACACCAGTTTCCTTTGTGAGGTAGGCAGCTAGCTTTAGTTTATTTTCCTAAAATTATAAAATCTTAAGTACTTTAAAAAAGAATCTTGATGATATTACACAAAAAATTCAAGATATGTATAGAAATAAATAATTCAGATGACACATGCAACAGTTTACCTACTTGTTTGATTTTATGAATTGTGCGGATAAATGATGAATCAGTGGCTAACTTCTTAAGTTGCTTAAGTTCTTCAAGATGAGTTGTCCATTTGTCACCAATACGCTGAAAGAAATATTTTTAAAAAATGAATCATAATTTATTTTAAATAAATTTGAGTAACATAATGAAAAATTATTAAAAATATTATCAATAGAAAATTCAAACCCAAAGGTTAGTTCCTTTTATTTTTCGTGTCAATTTAAACTTGGTGGAATCACAGTTCACCAATTTTATTTTTGATCACTACCTGATTCTACAATCTTCTAAAGCAAAATGTGTTTTTATGTACTGAAATTTTACTAAGATATGCAAACTCAAAGTAAGAGAGAAAGGTAAATAGAGTTTCTTAACAGGGAGGACTCCTGAAATTTACAAAAAGTAAATTATGAAATAATTAAAAAAAAACTAATATTAAGAAATATATAGATAAGAGCTTGGGTGAAGCACTTTAGTAACTTTTTAATTAGCAAGAGAAAGAGTTCTTCACTGTTATTAAAATAAAGAATTCAAGATGTCAGCAAAAATTAATTGACAAGCTAAAATTGGGTATATGAATTTAAAAAAACAAAAAGAAGTGTACTATACTTCAGCTATGGCATCCGCAAGACTTGGATTACATAGCAATAACCAACGACGAGGAGTAATACCATTTGTTTTATTTTGGAACTTATCAGGATTCATTTCATAGAAATCTTTGAATCTAGAGAAAAAACAAATTAATATTTATTAAAAAGGTGTTTAAAAAAAAGCTCTAAGATAAAACACATGTTTACTTCAAACGGAAGAAATTTAAACTTTTAGCTCTTTATGAATAATTTATACATGATTATTTTGCTCACACAGAAATTACTGAGACTTAATGAAATAAATTTTTCATGAAAAAATGATAATATTTTAATATAATTCTGAAAAAAAGTTGTTTGATAGTAGTGTTTGTTTTTAAGAAGTGTATGCATAGATAAAATTGCATTTGAGTTATGGTCAACTTTGCAAGCATAATATAAACTTTTGATGAATTTTGCAACACATGAACTAATCATGAAAAAATAGTATTAATACTAATCTGAATAAGTTATTATTTCATATTAAATTAAAATACTATAATTTTTCTACGAAGAAGTCAAGATTAAATTGGCTTTCACCTCTAAGAAAATAATAAATACTTACAAATCCTTTTTCAGAATTTCAGAGTGAATAGCAGCTACTCCATTTACTGCATGAGAGCCTACAATAGCTAAATGAGCCATGTTTATACGTTTCTCACCATATTCTTCCACCATAGACATTCTTCTCAACCTATCCACATCTCCAGGATATTTTTTAGATACTTCCTATAATAATAATTCAGACTATTTACAAATGATACTTATAACATGCTATATTTACAGAATGAAAGACATTTGAGAAAATGTTACAATTTATAAACATTTCAAACAGAACAATGATTTGAACAAAACCCATTATTTCTAAAATATCCAAATGCCCATTTGCTAAAAATGCACATCTACTATACTTAATTTGGGACAAAATGTTATCAAGTAATGAATTTTGTTTTAACTTAACATTATATTTTTGTCTATAATGTTCGAACACAGGACTACAGAAAGCACTGAAAGCAAAGTTTGACTTAATTTAATAAGTAACATTAATTTATAAAAAAAAAATTTACTTTCAACAGTTGTTATTATTAGAACAAGTAGGGATCAATATTTGTCCTGTAAATAACAACATATTTCTTCAATTAAAGGGTAATTTTTAGACAGTAAAACAATTAAATTTAATACTCAGCCAATTAAATATTTAATGAATCATACATTATTTCAAGCACAAATTAGTTATTTTGTGTAACATATATCATAAAAACATTCATATTTTTTCTTCATCAAAAAATACAAAAATTCACTTAAAAATCTGGTCTTTCATATATTTATTTGTTATTCTGAGTTGAGATGCTCCTCTTGAATAAAAGTCTAGTAAATTTGAGAGTATCAGCTTTAAATTATAAAATTACATAAATGCTTTTAACACACTCAGTCACTCCTTTTAAATTATTTCATTTAAACATAATCCTTTACTCAGTTGATTACTTAAAATAGGACACAACAAGCTCTTATTTCCATTTTCTTTAAAATATTACTTATAATGTTCAATGATTAAAATTTACTGCATAAAAATTTTTTGACATTGCATTTATAAAAATTTTATTTTGCAACATCAGATATTTTTGACTTAGAAAAAAGAACAGCTTATTTTCTCTGTTATTGCTTTTACCCACTGACTCAATTTTATTATACAAATGGTGATTAGTATTTTAAAAAAAGAAAATCCTAGCTACTCAGCCATCAATTTTAGGAATTTTCTGAAAAAAAGTTCTTATTCATTCTGATATGCCAGTTTTAACCAATATAAACTCCCTTAAAATATTATTTTGAGACTCATATTTTGATTTTTTAAATACTAAAAATTAAATCTTACAAGCAAGGTTTCGGAAAAACCCTATATAAAAAAAACAAAAGACTTAAGTTTCTTTTACTAAATTTCTTTAAACACTAAGGAAGGAGTCAAAATATTCTGAACATTCAGATTTAATAAAAAGCAAACCTCAAGGAATCTGGCATTGATTTCATACATTATTTGTAGATGACGAGGAAGTATGTGCTCAAGCATGGTGACAGGCCATCTTTCAAGAGCTTCAGGTAAAACAGTGTGGTTGGTGTAGGCACATGTGCGAACAGTAATGACCCAAGCCTAAGAATTCCATATCAAAAAGACATAAGAAATAATTTAGACAAAAGAAATAATTTACATACTGAAAAATGGAAAAGAATACAATAAGATAAGAATTTATTTTCTTTTAAATCAATATATTCTTCCTATTTTTTTTAGTAATACAATTACCAGAAAATGCTGAATAAAATTAATAAAAATGTAACTAAAAAATTATGATCAATGAAAAAATACAATTAATAAAGAAATAATTACCTTTTCCCAAGTAAGTCCTTCAATATCAATTAAAATGCGCATAAGCTCAGGAATAGCTAAGGCAGGATGAGTGTCATTCAGCTGAATTGCTACCTAAAAAAATATTCATGGAATATTAAAAAAAGTAGTTTCCATAGTTTTATTTAAAAAAAGCGTGGCTTTTAAATTATATTTACAGTTATAAGTCTCACACATTGAATATACTATAATTACCAATCCAAACAAAAAACAATTAGTAATAAGTAAAATTTTTATTTATAAAATACAACAATCTCAATGGCAATCGAAATTTAAGGTATAATGTATCAAGTTTTATTATAAAATTTGCACATTATTATTACACATAATTAAGAAACAAAATATGTAGAATGTTGAGAAGCAATTGAATAGGACTATTTTGAACTTTTCATTGGGTAGGCTAGACAATCAAAATTGTATTAACAAAAATAAATATATAAATTTTTGAAAATTAAACTTACTTTATCAGGGAATGTATCAAAACAGGTTCTGACTGGATCTCGACAACCAAATTTGGAAGATTTGAAACGTCTAATGATATCTTGTAATGTAGCAGCTACCATAAAATACTCTTGTTTCAATCTCAACTCCTTACCTTCAAAGAACTAATACAGATATTAGGATTATGAATAATTAAAAAATGTGACAAAATAACGTGGCAATTAAAAATGTAATAAAATAATTGGCAGTTCTGAAATGAATTAAAATATAAAGAAACTTTCTAGCTAATTGGAAGTGGTGGACAATCAGTGATATCAGTGAAGAGAAATGAATTTAAATATGTATCAAAAAAGTATATAACCCAAGAAGTTTAAATTATATTTAAATCTTGGAAATTTTAAATGAAATTTTATTGTTCAGAGATAAATATATTTTTTACATTTCAATATTAATGTGTTTCTCCTAATGCCAGAAATTTTTGTAAGCATCCTGTAAAGACCCCATCTTGAATGACTAGAATCCTATCACTGTGTGAAGCCTACTTTTTTCTGTACATAAATAACTTTAATGAGAGTCTAACTTTAAAATTATGCCACATACCTGGCATTTGAGTACTATCTCCTTTTAGAAAACTTTAGCTAATTATAGAGTGAATATGAAGTCATGATAATGTGTTTGAATTTTAAGTCAATTTATTATACACATTAGAAATTATTTTAACAAGTTCACCTGAAATTTTTTTTATGCATTTCTATCTTCAAAATAGTGCTATAAACATTGAATTTAAGATGTAATCTTTTCTAAAGTTAGCAATAAAATCAGAGTTTTTTTTATCGAAATGTGTTTTAAACTTTAATATTTATTTCAAAATACACCTTTCATGTTTCAGATATAACATTTCATGTTACAAATTTGTATCACAAAACCTATATTTCCAAGATACTAATATTTTTATTAGTTCTTGTTTTTAAAATGGTATTATGAACTCTGCATCTAAGTTGTAACTCTCTTCGAAAATAGCAGTAAAAAAATTAAATTAATATTTGATGTTGTATGAGACATTTTAATATCTCAAAATCTGTCATTTTAGCACATTTACTTTTGCTATGAGATCTCATAAATAAAATGCTGCCATACAATTTGTATCACAGTGGTAACTTTTTCAAAAATGAATTTCATAAATTTGTAAAATAATAATTTTAGGAGTAATATAGCTTTTGCATGTGTTTATCGTTAAAATGGTGCTAAGTAATCCATATTTTAGCTGAAGCAATTTCTAAAATTGGTTTTAAAAAACAAATTTTTTATGAAAGCGTGTGTTTAAACTAAAGAATTGCAAAACTCACTTTAAATAGTAATTTCAGAACTTAAATTCTTGAAACCAACATCTTTAGGACACATACAGAAACTACATATATAAACATAGTTCCATACACTTTACATTCCACAAGTAATTAAAAAGTCAGTGAAAAGAATTTTTTTTTCTTTATGAAAATTTATAGTTTAAATTTAAAAGGGAAGCTTCAAAAATTATTTGAACAGAATTTCAATACTATTATTATTAAAACCAGTGATGGAATTCAACCAATAAGAACTGGCAAATGTGTATTGGTTCTGAAAAAAACATTAAAAAATATGTAATTCTGAAATTTTAACTTTAAAATGTATATAAATGTTAAAGTTATAGTTTGATTTCTTTTAAGCAAATATTTTTAAATTTCAATATTAGTTCCTTCTTTCACTTAAAACAAGCAGGAGTTTTATAAGTCCATTGGTTCTTGAATGATTTGAATCCTATCTCTGCTTCAATCCATGAAATTAATTTTAAAAATCATACACAAAAGCCTTAAATGGAAGGCTTTAGAAATTATTTGAATAAATTTGCATCACTCATGGCAGTTATTTGAACTCCACCAGTAAGGCTAGAGTTTTTTTCATTCTTAAAGACCTTAAAATATTATGAAAAAATGCACTAAGTGGATAATGCTAAATACTTTAATTTGATTTAAGGAAAAATATTATATAAAAGGGCAGCATGTAAGAAACGCTAGTGAGGAATTGACTTTTAATAGCCAATGATTTTCATGATGATCTAAAATCATGATCATGTCTTTCAATAAATACTAAATATTACATTAACAAAAACTCTAATAGCATTATTCTAATTAATTAAATAATATCATTTTAACCATAATTTAGAAATATTTACTCGAAATTTATAGAAAAAATCAAATAAATATGAATGACTTAATTAGCTGTTGGACTATATTTAGAGATAACTAACAGTTAGAATTTAAATTTGAAAGGTAAATTGTTATGATTATGCACTTGTAAATATGTGTGCATTACTATCAAAATATCAATCAATATATTTATATTATATTTATTACAATTATGCATTATTAACTGGATTTTTTAAAAATATTTGTGGAATTCAAGTTTTCTAGTTAATAACACTTTTCTTTTTGGCCTAAAAAAACATTATTTCTGAGTTTGACTTGCAAATAAAAAAAAGGTTTAAACTGTGAACCAAATACGTTTTAATGTTAGTTTTTGTTTATAAATTTTAAATTAAAAAATTAATACTTTAGAGTAATTTGGAAATACTTACATCAAAAAATTATTACTTTAAGTCTATGTGCATCTTTTATAACACTCATTTAAAAGAAGCAATGGGCACTATAGAGTTAAACTTCAACTTAAGTAACATGAAAGATTTATACAAAATCAGGGTTATGATTTTTTTTAATGATTGGGGGATAGGTTTAAGCTAGCCATAAAATATTAGATAAATTAATGATAAGTAACTTACATTATCATTTGGATATAATACTCTAGAGATGTTTTCAGCATAATTCCGGTCTAAAACAGCTTGAATGTAGTCACCATCATTGACTGAAATGCCATAAAAGTAAATATTTTAACATTAACTGACTAAAATGTAAATTATAGCATACTGTTGAAGGAGCTAACAACATACAGATTAGTATAAATGTGCAAAATTAGAGTTGCAAAACACACTTACAGAATCTCAAATTAAAGCTATTTGGGGATTTTGAAGACCACAGACGCATTGTATTAACAACATTATTTCTAAAACCAGGAATTGGATTGTCATATGGAATTGCAAATACAGTCTAAAAAAGAAATTACATTTTTTTTCTTCAAAATATTAAATTTATAATGAGTGATACAAAAAAACCCTCAAAGAATCAAATACTGAGCAAAAAAATTTTTTTTATTACCTGAGTATCAACCCATTTACATCCTTTATCTGTGTGGTCCACACGTCCGTAGAAATTAACAGGTAAAGTATATTCTGGGCGAGCTTTCTCCCATGGATTTCCAAATCTAAGCCAATCATCTGGTTCTTCAATCTATCAAAATCATAATAAATAAATAAAATTGTAGAGCTTCAAATTATTTGAATACTCTAAAAAAATGTTACACTACTAAAAATAATTAAATTTTACAAATGCTTTAAGATCACACTCGAAGCTCAGAATAATAGGTTAAAATGCTTAAAACGTTTATAAAGTGAACCATAAATTTATTGTCTTGCAAGCAAAAGTAAACACATTTTAAGGTCTTTAATTAATCTCTCACTTTATTTAAGGTCTTTATTAAAAATTGGGAATTACAGACAAAACACAATATGAGTCTGTCACAGGCAGTCCTTAATTTTTAAAATTTTTTTTAAGCGTGAAATATGAATTGAAGCAAGTTTAATGAGACCAAGAGTTATTTAAAAGAAATTCTTAAAACGACTTGATTTTTTTTAGCTTAACTATATGCATTTAAAATCTGAAAATATAAAATTTTCAAATGATGGAATTAAACTGAACTCCGTGGCTCAACAGCTGATAGAGGAACAAGGCCCACTGTGTCTATCCCACTTTTCTTGACCTTGGGCTCTAGGGTGCTGGAGCATATATTCCAGTTGGGTGGTCAGCCGAATGCTGAACCCCAAATGCTTAGTATCCAAGCATGCTTGGCACTCATTTTATCGACCAACTGAAACGATGAAAAGCTGGAAGTTCAAACATCTTGTCCAGTCTGAGGAGAGCACTTTGTAAAACAATGGAATTGCCCAATAATAAATTAACAATAAAAAAATACTCTACGTAAAATTTGCAATGCCTCTCAATCATACAACAGGGGCAACAACGAATCAAATAGTAATCTTAGTGACTAATAGAATTCTTTTCAATTTGCCAAAATCTTTCCCTCAATCAACTTTAAAAATCTTTTTCTACTTAACTTAACTGAAATTGCCTACAATAATATAAACAGCCCAATTTTTTTTGGAACACATAATAAAATATTTCAAAGATAATAGAATCAGAATGACATTACACATGTAAAATTTTTCAAAAATTGTGTGTCGCATCATTCTGATGGCACTTATCAATGAAGTGTTTTCTGAACAAGTTAGAAAATTGGCCTCGAATTTGTCTCATTTCATGAAATTATCTTATTTTATAGTGTATTGGGTGGCTAGAACAATGTTTTTCTGTAATTTGAAATAGGTTTTGATAGAATCATATTTGAAAAATAAAATTCCACTGCTTTGTTTAACTTGCAACTATATTATGTACCATGACATGCAAATATTATTACCTGATCACCATTCTTTATTCGTTGAGAAAATATGCCATATTCATATCTTATTCCATAACCATACGCAGCCAATCCTAAAGTTGCCATTGAGTCTAGAAAGCAAGCAGCTAATCGCCCAAGTCCACCGTTTCCAAGACCAGCATCTTCTTCCATATCCTCAAGATCTTCAATGTCAAGACCAAGCTAATAATTACATATAAATGCAACAATCAATTCTGCGAAATGAGAAGTTAAAATACTAAGCAAGATATGTCAGTTTGTTTTTTGTTTGGAATTAATTAAAACTGTTCAGCAGTTTTACTCTTTTAAAATCAGAAATGTTAGAAAAATCTTCACTGTCAAAAACAGTTGAGGAAAGATTATACTAATGTGCTTTCAAGAATCGTTATGTTCAGTACTAGTTAGAAAAAGTGTCTTCACAAACTTCTTGTATTTTTCAAAATGTTAGTTCTGTTCAAGTTTTGAATCTTAGTTAAAAAGAATAATGAAAATTGGTTTAATTCTACTTGTCATTCAAACAAAATTAACTCATCCCACATCTGTAGTTTCATTTTATGACAGTATTGATTAAAAAGGGCTCCACCTGCTCTCAATTTTTCTAACAATTAACATTTTCTTCATTGCATTTTCAAGAAGTTAATATTGCATAAAATCTGTTAAACTAATTTTCTCTAAAGTTTATCTTTTAAGTGTTTGAGTAGAAAATAAATTTTTGAAGTTAAAACAGCTTTAAGAATCTAACTGGAATACAATATTGTAGTAAATAAATAAACCATTAAAAGTTTTAAATAAAAATATACAATTACAGATTTAGAGCAGTTTAGGTTGAAAATAACATTAACATTCTCTAGACCACAATTCTTAATCCCACTTCTTTAATTGCTCTTTAATTACTTCTTAATAACACCTAACTACAAGCTTTAAAAAACGGTATCTATAATTACAACATTATTCCCTAAGTATTCCTATTACATATTTAAATGTTAGATCTTACCTGATATAAAGCTTCATCACATGCACTTTGGATATTCAAGTTTATCATGGTATTCGAGAGAGTTCGTCCCATATAATATTCCAAGGACAAATAGTACACCCTCTGAAATGTAAAAAGAAATTAGCATTAAGAAAATTCCAAATTTTATATTAAAGTCATATTAAGCACTTTATAATGAATTTTATAAAATGAAACGATTTTAGTAATGGAATTAAAATTTATTTGACTGAAAACTGCAGTTTAAATGCAGGTTGAAATCTTGAGGTTTAAATTTAAGCTAGTTATGAACACTGAAAGTAATTTGGATAACTAGCATTCATGTTGTTTCTATTCTTGCTGATAGGCCGACCTGATTGCTTTCAACACACGGTAGCGAGGCAGGAGAAAAAATCAAATTATATATTGTAGAAAAAAAATTTACAGTGGTTGTTAGTATCTCAAATGTTACAAAAGAAGTAAAAACTAAAATACTTGCTTTATAAAGCTAATTAATTGGAAAATGAATTAATTTTTTTTTAGGTGACAATCTAAAAACTGTAAAAAAATGTAACTTTATAAAAACTGAAAAGCAAGATTCATATAAAAATAAATCCTAAAAAAAAAAAAAAATGTGTTCTTGAGGACAGCCAACTAAGNAAAACGAGTGCAAAATTTAAAAAAAAAAAAAAAACTGACTTACAGCAAATATAATTAAAGTGAAGTATAAATCATAAAAATTTAGGGCTATTTTTCAAATACTCTGTAGTTGTATGAAATGATGCTCTTTTGAGAATAATATGTTATTTTCATGACTGATGTGAGTATGCAACAGTTATGACTGTTAGGTCAAGTTTAGCCTATCTTTAGCCAGCACTCCCTGAAAATGTTGCAAAACGTCTATATGAAGAAAAGTCACAGTTTTGAGAAAATGAAAAGTGTTTGTGAACCAATTTTTTAATATTTAAAAAACTTAACTTAAGTGTTGCATTATTTAGGCTCATAAAAATTTGCAAAAAATGGGAATTGGGAATAAGGAATTGATTATGATAATTTTCATAAAGGTAGAAAAATGTCACCAAATCGGCAATTTTTAAAAAGTTTAATAACTTTAAAAATATTCGTTATTTGTCCATTCTAAAGCCAAAATAATTCCTCATGGTACAATAGCATTTATAGTTTAAAACTACTGCTTTGGTTTAAATGTAAGAAATAAAACTGTGTTTTTCTTATTTTCCTTGGTGAGAGAGTTTTGAAAAACCATTCTAACAATTAAATTTGATTACCATAAAAATATGAGCCATAAACAGCATATGCATGTGGTACCAAACAAAACGAGCTAATCTTGCTGTAAAACCAATAAAGCAGTTTTTAAATTATACAAGCATATATTAGTTTTTTTTAATAAAAAAAACTATATTTATAGACTTCCCCCCCCCTTATATTTGTTACAAACAGGGCAGTTGCAACAAGATATGAGTTTTGGGGGAGGGGCATCACATCCCTCCTAGGTAAGGACAGCAAATTTATTTAGTGAAAAAGTCTGAAGACCATTACTCTCACAATTTATTATTCTTAAGGTATGACAATATTTTGACCTATGTAAAAGGCGTATTTTAGATTATATTTAGTGAAAAATATTAAAAAAAACCCTATTCTCAGTGGCGGATCCAGCGGGGGGGGTCATGACCCCCCCCCAAATTGAAAAATAAAATAAAAATAATAATTTTTTTAATAGTTTACAAAAGAAATAAAATATTTTAAGAATTATTTAAGGGGGCATATACACCTAGTTAGGTCGAAAAATCAATTTTTTTTCATCTAATTATGTTCTTCACTGTTTCAAGAATCATTATCCAAAAGATTAACGAAATTCGTCATAGTTTCATTGTAAACATTAATAATGTTGAAGCACGCCGAGCGCTCCAAGCGCGCTTCAACAGGTTTAACCATAAGATTGTATAAAGGTGAAGATTGGAAACTTGCGAAACTCGTAACTAAAATCTGGCATTAATAAACATTCATCGAGAAATTGATTTGGATGTCGAAAAAATCATTGACAGATTTGCCAAAGTTTCTAAGAAACGCATTACATTTATTATTTAAAGATTTTGAATACTTGAATTATTTATGTATTGTTCTATTGTTCATTATGAAAAAAATAAATGAGAAGACTAGCATTAAAAATCCCAGTTTTTTTTCTTTTTTTCAAAAAAAAAAAATTAAAAAAAAATTTTTTATAAAAAAATTAATTCTTAATAATAATAATTAATAAAAAAATTAACTGAGTCTACGACCCCCAGGAAAAATTTGTGGATCCGCCCCCGCCTATTCTTCTTAGGATTTTTTTTTATAGTAGGCATCACTGATACATTTCTTTTCTTCATAATAAGTAGATGTCCTGTTATTGAGAAATGTGTTCCACATAATGGCCCCCCATCACTCTCTCTCTCTCTCTCTATATATATATATATATATATATAAGAGAGAGATCTCCTGGATCAGCTAATATTTTCATTTTAAGTTAAAGATATTAAATAGAAAAATAGCGACAAGAAAACGTTGTCACAAATAAACGCTTTCATAAACGTTGTTATTGCAATTCCTAGAATTCAGGAATAATATAATTTATAGGTCACACTCCCATTTAAAACAAAAGTTAAACAACCATTGCACTTTACACTAGTTACTTCAAATATTAGAATAAAAAATATTCTTAGAGTTTTTTTTTCTTTTTAAAAATTTAGTACTTTCTTAGTTGAAGTTTTCAAATTTACCTTGTAAATATAATATAATGACTATAACAATGAGCAACACTGTAGCAGTTTCTGCATCATAAGTCATAATTTTTCGAGCTATGAAAAATTGTCACGATTATTTAATGTATTTATTTGTATTAAAATTTTATTTTATTCCAACTAATTATAAATAACATAACAAGTATCGAGATTAAACTATAGTTAACTATCGAGGATACTACAGGGGTTGGAAAAAATAATGGAAACATTTCTACATTAACTTATTTTTTCCTATTTCTCAAGAAATAATTACAGAATTATTTTAAAATTTTTTATCTCATGCGATTTCTCATACATATCAATAAAGTTTAAAGCTTTTAGAGTTTTGAGAGAATAAATTACTAACGAAAAAGAATGTTTTTGAACATCTTACATCAAAAAATACAGCGATAAGCTTGTCATGTCAATTACGTTGAGTAGATTATCATATGAAATAACACAAAATTTTGTAAACTAAATATTCACGGAGATTTGGATATTTTTTTTTTTATAAAAAACTAATTTTTTTGACTAACGTTTTCTTATTTTAACTCCTGAAATATTTAATGAAATTAAAAAAAATTTTTAGCTCACTTTTTAATTAATAATAAAGATATAATTTTAAAATTTGAAAAAAAAAATTAGTCAAAAATTGCGCAAGAGATGAGTATTTAAATTAATATTTAAATACAGCGCATGCGCGGAAATCATTTAAAACATTTCTTTTCCACCCTAGTTATGCTTAGAATCGTATTTGGTAACTTATAAAAAAAGACCGATTTGAATACCTTGAAAATATAAGAAGTTTCGAGCTAGATTTTTTATTTTATTGAAAGCTCAAAATGATAAAGGGTTTTCTACAAATTTCATCTTATATCATAAAACAAAATTTTATAACAAATGATAATACGCTAAAGTGATGGTTCGGACTACAAGATGTGATGTTAATAAGAAATAAAACATGTGAAATTAAACATAATTTAATAAGGACAAAATGCTACAAAAAGCTGATGTCATTTTTAATAAATCTTGTTTCATAGTACAAAATTAAATTTGGGGAAAACTCCTTACTATTCGAAGCTTTCTTTCCAAATTAACAAAAACTATTTCGAAAATTGCTAGAAACTTTATAAATTATCAAGATTTTCAAGATTTCAAAACAAAATTATTACAAAATTGTTTTTCAAATTTTAAAATGAAATTTTGATCATTAATTAAAAATTATTCTAAAATGTTTGTTTAATTTTATTAAATATTTCTGCAGTTATAGTAAGAAAACACAAATCAAATAAACTTTACAATGCATTTAATTGGAATCAGTAAGTCTCAAAATAGATCGTGTAACAAAGGGTCAACCATCAAAAAATGAATTCATTCAGGATTATGGAGTATATTTTAATCTACAAAAATGTATTTGAACATACTCTTTAAATACATAAAAACATTTATACTTACATTTTTTTCCCTTTTATGTGAATAACTTTTATTATTTCAAGCTAAATTATTATTTATTTAAAAAGTTTAAAATTGTTCTTGGAAAATATTTTTAAAATATAATTATTGAGCTAATAAAATATAATTATTAATAATTTGCATAGATTGTTGCATAAAACTAAATGCAATACAATAAGAATATTTTATTTTCCCTTTCCCGTGTTGTAGTTCATTTCAAAAGATTGGAATAAAGCGCATGAAATGAAGCCTTATGGAGGAAATTATAAATTCTCAGTAAAGTAAAAAAACAAACAAATCATCTTTTTTCTTATAAAGAACACGCTTCTTAAAAATTTGTCAAAATTTAAGTAATGTTCCATATTTACAGTAGATCTTAACCATAACGTTTTCAAAAATTTTTGAAATTCAGATGTTTTTAACTCCTTAGAGGATTTCCTCCATTCTTGATGTAAAGGCGGGTTCCACGACTCCGCCAGTGCACATGTGATCTATCTCTTCTTTTCACATTTTTTTTTTTTTTTTGCTCTAGACTTGGTTTATAACACCATTTGATCAGAGTACTTAAAATAAGTAATGACGTATAAAAGCGGTGCTGTATTATGCCGTGAGCCGGGATCGGTTATATTATTACAGCACCGAATATTGCTGTGCAGTAATATAATTAAATTCAATTATTTCATACAACGATAATAACATGTGATATTACACTATATTCAATTTTACACAAGGTAATGTTTTCAAAATAATACGTCACACGATTCGTTTCATAATATGAATTTTCCTCTAAACTCAGTGAGGTTTTTAAGTATGTATTTAGAATGGTTGTTTGACAAAGAAATTACTTATCAAGTATAGAACACAATTTAATCCACAAATGAAAAAGGTAAAAAAAAA